TTGTGACAGGTTGGCCTTAGGGCCGTCCCTGGCTAAGTCCAGGCTATTGTAAGGCGAGGAGAAAATGACACAAACCAAGAATGGGAAACCAGGGTCACTAGCCCTGCCACCCTCTTTCCTCAGGACCTTCGCAAAGCACCGTTTCAATACCACACACCACACCTTCTTGTCCTTCATCAGCTGCTGTCCCAACGGATCCTCGCACGCGCACTCAAGGTGCTCCAAAGGCGTTGCTTTGAACCAGGCGCCACAGTAAGGCTGAGGCCCCGCCCCTTCCTACTCCTCTGAGTGACATCAGAAGGTTTGTTCTAGCCAGCGGTGACCCCTGTGTTTTGGTTGTTTGACCCCCGCCGGGGTCGCGACCCACAGGTTGAGAACCGCTGCTATAAAGGGACTCAAGATGGCTGATGATAACAAAGCTGATGACACTGCCATGCTGTAGCCACCAGGACACAATAATTTCTACTACAGTATGTCAAAACAAAAATCCTTTGCTATTGTCATCAAATTGAAAAGCATGACACTGTCATAGTTAAGTCTCCAGGTGGAATAGAAATGTGGCAGAAACAAGAGATTTTAAAATGTTACAATTATTTTAACATACATTTACCTGAAAGGGCAAGGAAGCAGTGTAATCCTTTCCTTCAATGCTGTGAATATTTATGCAAGAGCTCTGTAATATGCAGATACATTTTTCTACTACTTTGCTGCTATCTGAAATTGGGGAACAAATATGGAAGATTTGAATCAACTGCTATTCAACAAACCTCCACACAATCAGCCTATATTTTGTGCACTTGGTTTTGGAAGCAACAGAATTTTGAAATGGGCAGCACCTTTCAATTTCCAGACCCAAAATAAAATGACAGAAGAATTAAAATTACCTTCCATTTTGTCAGACTTCTCCTGAGGTATAGAGAAATCACACCACAAAGCCTGAAATAAAAATATTCAGTGTGTAAGTTTTTCTGTTTTAAACATATTTTCACAAATATTCCTCCTTCAGTGACACAACTACAATCCAACAGATCAAATAAAAGAATTTCTTGAGACAGTGAGATAGGCAGCATATAGAAACACACATGCACACACTCTATATGATTCCCAGTTCAAAGCTGAATGTGGATCTTTATGTAATCAATATACAGTTGCCCCTCCCAATTTGTGGGGGATCCATTCTGGACTCCCTCATGAAAATGGTGACTCGCATATATTCGAATCCCATAGAAAATAATGGAGTGTATGCCCAAGGCATGTGCGCAGGGCCGCACACAGATGCATGCTACCATTTTATTAATGACTGCCTGTCCCTCCTGCGAAGAGCAAGAACGTGGATTCCAAGTCCTCAAAGAGGGAGGGAAAACTGTAGACGGTTCATCCAAACATCAGAAACATATTTAGACTAAGGGGAATTCAATGGTTTACAACTGCAAAATGAGGACTTAACATATCTGGTGGTTACATAATACAGATTGAATGCTGGTAAGGATAGAGTGTGTGGAAAACAAAGACACGGCAGGAAGAAATGACTAGTTGGAAATGAAAATGACAACACTCCACGCTGTGATGTTGTCAAAGACATATTTAGTCCAGCATTCTTTTCAAAATGTAGCCAACCAGCAGGACGTGAGTGCATCAGCAACCTCTTGCTCATGCTTCCCACCAAATGATATATAGAGGCAAACCGTCTCTGGTAGTAGAGAAAATATATATATATATAGACATCATGTCTAGCAGGCACTAATTGCCCTGTCTTCTATGAATTGGCCCCAATTCCCCTTAAAACCATCAAAGATGTTGCCATTGCTACATCTTGCGATAAATAATTTCACAATTGATTATGCACTGCATAAATTACTACTTCCTTTTCTATGCCCCAAATCCTTCACCATTCACCTTCAGATGACCCCAGGTAGTAAAATCCATTCACCTTCAGTGGATGACGCCAGGTAGTAAAAATGATATGAGAAGAGGAAAAGCTGTCCCCATCTGCTTAGTCCACAATGCACCTATTTTTATGCATTCTTATCATGTCCCACCTCTATCATGCCTGTTTTCTCAGCTAAAAAGCTTGGAACAGTGCAATCACTCACAGCAGGAGAAAGATTCTAAGCCATAAAACAGTCTGAGAAGGAAGTGGTCTTAGTCAAGATAGTCTGATCTAATATACCTTTCCCTTCTAGACGTTTTAAGGGTTTTCTTCTCTCTCTCTCTCTCTCTCTCTCTCTCTCTGAATATATATTAACCAGAGCTGTTGATTATATGCTAAACCTCCAGCTCCAACTCCTCTACCTACTGCCTGACTCTGACTCTTTCATAAATAGCAAATATATATTATTTAAATAACAAATTTACTGTAGTAAAATCTACTGTAGTACAAAGCATTTCACCACCACCACATAAATCAACAGGTTGCTTAGACTGATCAAATATAAAATATATTTACTGTATTTAAGTATGTAAAATATTAAAAGATATAGTTACCATATACTGTTATAATAAGTTTTCATTTTGAAGCCAGAATGCCAACTCTGACTTCATCCAAAATAGCTTCCCACTCCACAGCCCTGCTTTTAACATACAAAAGTCTAGCAATTTAGCCATAGACCTGTTTGTCTCAAGTAGTTTACTGTCAACAGAGCCTATCCACCCATGTCACACACCCTTGTCATTTATTTTATTCATTTAACCCACCTGACATAAAAGTCTTTTGATCCTCCAGAAGCAGCTCCCACAATCCCTTAATATTGACCATGTTGGCTATGGCTTCTGGGAATTGTTGCTCAAAAAATTTATAGCAAAACAACCACCTCTGTAACAGACCCTTTTCCTGAGCAAGCCTAAAAGTAACCAGGGCCTACACTTTCTTTGCAATATGCAATCTACAACCCTCTACTGTACAGTGTCAGATTTCATACCTGCAGAACAGGGCTGTCAACAGTAAATGCTTTGTAAACTGCTGAAGCTTGGCTTTTACTTCCTCTGCTCCAAATGACCATGTTACCAGCCATATACAGTTCTTCATCATATTCCACTTCTTCCCCAACATCACTGATTCCCTTTCTTAATTGCCACCTTTCCTGAAAAAGGAGAGAATAAATAAGAAAACATGACAGATGCTGCACGTTATGCCAATTCACATTAGCTTTGAATACTATCCAATGGAGACCTGGCATCCAATGGCCAACTGTCGGGGGTGCTTTGATTGTGAGTTCCTGCATGGAAGGGGGGGTTGGACTGGATAGCCCTTGTGGTCTCTTCTGACTCTATGATTCTAATGAGACTAGAGAATGGTCTTAGGGCACCCAATGATGTTACATCCTAAAACCTAAGCAGCCTAACTTTTGAAAGTTTCTTCATCTCAAGTAAGGTGGTCTGAACTTTTTGAAGAGCTGGCTGCTGTTTTGGGGGGCTGTTTACAAGATAAACGCAGTTTCAAATCATTTCCAAAAAACATCCAATAGTTCATTGCCAGAAGAGCTGCAGAAGAACATTCTACATTCTATAAAGGAAGAAAAATAAACATTTTACAAAAATTGCCTGCTGCTTTCAAGGCATTTGTCTTAAGCACATTACTGGAAATGAAGATACATAGAATGGATGGAATTTCATTCCGCTTCTATCTAGAGTGAGTAACTATCATTAGTTAAGGGGCCACACTGCACTTCCACCCTGGGGAACCTGGAGGGCCATATCCCCTACTACACATGCTCAAAATTTGATTATATTTTTACCCCAAATGCCCCCAACATGCCCTGCACATTTCTGGTGTAATATATGGAGAATGTGCCCCATGTCCCCAAGAAATATTTGGGACCATTTATGGGTAAAAGGTTTCACCCCTGGGGGACAACAA